AGGCAAGGAGTCAAAAAAAGAGTAGAAAAAAGAAAGTGAAGAACTCAAAAGAGTAAAACTTAAAATGTAAGTTATACCTCCAGTGCATCAAGGGTGGAATCTTGCAAATTCTTGGCATGTTGATACATCTCAGCCCGCAGTAGGTCCTCCATTGAAACGATAGTAGGCTTTTTGGTCACTTGGGGCACTAAAGTCAAAGAAAATGGAGTTGTCAACTCTCATCACGAAATTGTGGATAAGAATAAAGGAATGAAGCAAGGTTTACTTACTGGAGGCTTTTTGTTTCTTCCTACCCATACCCACCTCAGCTACTAAAGTAGAAGACTTAGAGGCTTTGGAGGTCTGTGCCCTCGTCCTTTTCTTTGTTCGTACCAACCGCGCTTTGGGCTCACACTCTGAGGTCTCTACCACCATTGCCCGAGTCCGACATGTAACCCGAGACTCAACTACAGGTTCTGCCTCGCCCTCAGAATCTCCAAGTAACTTGGAAACATCTCTACCCTCTCCAGCACTTTGCCTTTTTGCTTTAGCTACAGCTTTTTGGAGGATGAAGGCGTCTGCAGCATCTTCATCTTGCCAGATGACCACCTTTACGAGATTGCCTTGGGCTACAAATACAAAGAAACCAAGGAAAGGATTAGAAGGGGTATTCATGAAAATTTCAAGTTAAAGGAGTAAGGAATACTTATCAAAAGGAGTTGATTATTTTGACGAATCATTTCCTTCCAATCTTCAAGCTCAGTTGGTTTTGGAAAGGACTTGATGGATAGTTGCTTAAAAAAAGGGTCATGAGCTCGGTACAGGTCTCCTCCATATTTCTTAGTACATTTTGCTTCCCACCAAGATAAGAAGCTTGAAGTGCATTCGAAGTTCAGAGCCATGGGCTTTCGAGCGACCTTCCTCATAACCTCAAGATTGTGTCAGGCAACTTGAAAATTGACTTCAGGTGGAGAGCAAAGACGGTAAGAGGTGCCATATTGAACAGAGTCAAAGAAGGGGATTGGAAGGGCTTGTCTGAAGCCAAACTATCTAGCACAGAAGTTGGGGTGGTAAACCTCCTGCACACGCCCATAGCAGTCACTCCTTACTCCCAGGCTAGGTCTTTTGGTTGAATACAACTGATGAATCTCTTTCTACAGAATGGACTAGCATTTTTTCCAAAAGCATCTTGGAAGGCTTGGTCAAAGAACAAAGGATATCTCCTTAGGATTGAAGCACCTCATTCCAGATCTGCCTAAGTCTTGCAGACTCTAAAGAAATAAAGACAAGCAAAGGTAGAGTGATTGGTTGGAAAAGCTTCAGCTAAAATTCGGGCAGGGGCTACTCATTCCTGGAATTCTAGGTTGGGGGTCCGAAGCTCAGGAAAGTACCATTGAAGCCAAAGCTAGATCATCCAAGTTGGACCATTAAGGTTAATGGTTAACCCTTTGTAATTTTGTACAAGACATGATAGAGATGAGCAAGGAAAAAAGGTCATGTGGCTACATAGTCAAAGTTGTGAAGAGCTTCTACTAGAGGAATCCATTCCACTTTCACTCTTTCTTTAGATTTATTGGGGAAGACATGTTTGTTGAGCCAGTAAAGGAGAAAATGCATGTGTTCCTTATCTTTGCTAGCATTGGACGAAGAAGGGCCAAATTTCTTCTTAACAAACGGGATAAAACCCATGAATGAAGTTCCTTAACTCTTGAAGATTGCAGAGTTATACTCTAAATGAAGAAATGAGGAGGGCTACTTGAGCTTTCAGCAGTCGGGCGAGAAGAATGAGCCTAATCGTGAGTAACATCCACAATTCTGCCCAAAGGCTTTAGCTCGAAGACTTGAGCCATGTCTAGGATGGTCGGGGACATGGGGCCCATCCTATAGTTGAAAGTGTTGGAGCCCGAGTTCCAGAAGAGGAATGCAGTTGTCAGCAGCTCGGGTTTAGCAATCACAGTCGATTTGGACAACATTATCAGCTTATAAATTCCATTGTTCATCCATTTTTTCTGGAAGGTTATCTCGAGCTCATTAATCCATTGCGTCCATCATTCATCTTTTATCATAAGGAAGCCACGACGATGGTTCGACCACTTGGAAGACGAAATGCCCAACTTAGCCTGAAATGGCATTAGGGTGAACCATTCCTCCTTGGGCATGTTGTTTTCAATAGCAATTAGGACTTGAGAAGTCCATGCAGGCCCCAATGAGTGCGCTTCTCCCTCCTTAAAGAAGAGCACAGTGTGCAGGCTTGCCCGATGGCGATGAAGGGCATTGAAAAGACGGGGTATGGTGGAAATTCCCTCGCCAGTTTCACAAGGAGATTAGATTCAAGCAGCTTTGGGTGCCATTGAGGACTTTGAAAGGAAGATAGGAGGAAAAGTTGGAATTAAGGGGACAAGAGTTGAAGAGCTGAGAATGCAAGAGCGTACTAGAATTTCTGAGAATTCAAAGGCTCGAGATGGTTAAATGTGCTTTGCGGAAGAGGATTATATAATAAGTGGTGTTTTAATGGTGGAGTTCGTGGGTTAGTGCAAAGGTCTTAGTTAAACAATTGCTTTAAATGGTGCAAGTTCCGAGAGAAGGCATGCGACGTCTATTTAATCATTATTGGCGCCTGGGATTGTAGCCTCAACAATGATTAAAGGGAGCACTGTTTGGGTTAATATTTGAATATTGGGCTGAAAATATGAGAAAGCCCAAAGGTGCCAATTAAGAGAAGACTTGCCCGAAACCCAGTATCAAGCCCAGAGACAAAATGGCGTCTTTCCATTAATACATAGGCCATGTGCCTATGATTTAAATGTCAAGTGATGGGGACTAACTCACAATCAGCCAAAAAGCACTTTTCAGTGGCAATACAAGTAAAAAGCTGATGACTCACTACCCTTCAAGTGCTTTCGGGCAAGAGAAAAGTCACTGCAGTCGGGCTAATCTACCTATAAAATGAGGAAGAGGCCCCAGAGACAAAGACACTCAACCAATCAAACAAACAAACATACAAACTCTGCTTTCAAGCCAAATTTGCATCTAAAAGCTGTAATCAGCCCAGATCTTAGTCCCTTTAGGGATATCTCCCTCACAAAAGCTGTCTTTTATCTTGTTTAGGAGCTATGCTATCACCCCTAGTGGCGTAGTATCGATTCCCTTATGTAAACTGGTTTACCATCCATCTCTTTTTAGCATAGAAACCTCTGTAAACTCAAAAAGAAATGATTGCAGGAAGTTCAACCTTACCCGACAAGGTGAAATCTTGCTTAAAAGTTCTTTGTGTGTCTTCTAAGATAATAGATCTACTGCTTAATGTATTCTCCAATATGTATTCAAGTCATATCCATCTGTTTTCCTACTTTAAGAGTTTTATTTGCATCTGGATCTGGTCAGCTTAATGGATATGCTTTCATTTAAAACCAATCAAGAACCAAACAAATGACTTAAGGGATCTGGACTCCCTTCATTCGAATATACAAGACTATGAACTGAAAGTCCTTGGTCACAAGGCAAGAAAAAGAACTTAATATGAACTTAACCCATCCACGACAATCCTTTGATAACAAGAAGTCCGAGTAACTTGGGGCGCAAGTAATCGACTAAACACAATCTTGTTCTACATCTGTTATACTAAGATAGCAGTGGCACGCCTAGCACTTGGTTAGTTTTGATTGCAAGTCTCAAGGCCTACACCTAAGGCCCGACAAAGGCACCTTTCAAAACTAACTTTGTCTTCTTTTTGCAGCACATCAGTAGGCAAGAGCCCGACTACACATCCAAATTGCCATTCCCTTGGGGAGCTGTGCTGAGAGCCGAGAAGCCCTCTCCAGAGAAATCTTTGTCCGAACAGGATATAAATTTTTTATCCTTACTCGTCCATTCATTCGACTTTAAGAATCCGAAACATAATTAACTTATTGTACCGTTTAACTCATTAATTAGATGTTCATTCAACAGTAATTCTCTTAAACTCTTTTTAGGTTATGATCTCCTTTACTTTTGAATAGAGTCTCTATAAATGGATGAAAAAAATAACCGATCTTATAGTTCTTTACTGAATTAATCCTCTCTAATCTGAAATTTGTGCTTGATAAGGGAAAAAAGGCACTGAGGCATATATTACAAAAATAATTTATCAAATATCAACCATGTCATCCATCTATATTATAACAGGTGTGGGCATCAACGTAAAACATTTCTCCAAACTCACAATCCTCAATGCGAACATCCACACTTAGTCAAGAATTGAAGCTGTCTTCATTTAACCGTAGTCTTAATCAGAGACCAACCTACCCTGTCATCTAGTCCATTAGTTAACAAGAAACTGTTTTGATGAAGGGAAGTGTCGAGGAAAAAGTAATGGATCGCCAAAAATATTCCCTATTGGCGATAGAATCATCAAGTACTTCTGAGATGAAGAAAATAGCGACCGACTTTTTATCAAGAGTGTGGATAGAGTCCAAGAAACTATGGCACATTGTAGGTCCTGATATCATTAACCGCTTGGCTGGCTACTCCATGACTGTCATCACCCAAGCCTTTGCTGGCCACCTTGGCGATGTTGAACTTGCTTCCATTTCCATGGCCAACAATATCATTGTTGGCTTTGGTTATGGTCTCTTGGTATACATATCAAACACTTACTCTCTTATATATTTTGTTGGTTATTTCACAGATAGACATTGTAAATATATACGGTTGGCTTTTTTTACTCTTGACATTTATATGTATATATGTATAAAATATATTATGATATGGGTTAATTACATTCTTCTATTTGTTTTAGTCTGATTTCAATAATGTTTCTTGGAACCTTAATCATAATACTTGGTAATTTGCCGAAATTGATAACAAAAGGGAAAATATTTGGCTTCTTATAAGAAATTTTTCCTCCACATGACACATAAGCAAAAGAAAACAACAAAAGTTATTGCATGTGTAATGAGTCAGTATTGTGTAGATATGTGATTTCCACACTCCCCTTCTCTTCCCGTGCACTTCTCCCGGTTTTTTTTCCCCCCTTCTATCCCTTGAATACAATAAATCACAGGAGAAGGGACTAAAAATAAGGAGATTAGTGCAGAACGAGAAAATAAGAGTGTAAAATCACTATCCTTTTGTTGACGTGTCATCTTGTGAATTGCATAAATGAAGGATTAGCTCCTCACTCATGAGGATCTAACCCATGAACAAAATCGTAATTGTAAACACTATATATTTTTTGTTTTGGCAATCTATTAGTTGGGGATGGCAAGCGCGCTAGCCACTCTATGTGGGCAGACTTTTGGTGCCAAAAGGTACCACATGCTGGGCATATACATGCAAAGGTCTTGGATTGTGCTGTTTTCGTGCTGCATTCTTCTGTTGCCTGTGTACCTATACGCGTCTCCGATTCTGAAACTAATCGGACAGTCTGATGAGGTGGCGGAGCAGTCTGGGGCGCTGGCTTTGTGGCTCATACCCTTGCACTTCAGCTATGCATTTCAGTTCCCATTGCAGAGGTTCTTGCAGTGCCAGCTCAAAAACTTTGTGACCTTGTGGGTTTCGTTGGCAGTTTTGGTGCTTCATTCAGTGACAACTTGGATTTTGGTGAGTGTGTTGGATTTTGGGGTTGTGGGTGCTGCCATTGCTCTTGATATCTCATGCTGGGCTTGCGGTTTGGGGCTGTTTTGGTATGTTGTGTCTGGTGGTTGTCCATTGAGTTGGGTTGGTTTCTCAATACAAGCATTTTCTGGGATTTGGGAATTTGCCAAATATTCTGCTGCTTCTGGGGTCCTGCTGTGGTACTAAATTTCTTCCTTAATTTGCTCTTCTTTTTTTTCTTGCACATATACATTTGACCATACTTAACAGTCAGACACTTTTTAGCCAATTTTTGTTTGTTCTTATTTTTCTTTGAAGCTTGGAATTCTGGAGCTATAGAATCCTAATACTGATGACTGGGTTCTTAGAGGAAGCAACTCTTGCTGTGGATGCCTTGTCAATATGGTAAGTGCATTAAGGTTCCACATCATTAGTTAGATGATTAGTTAAATGATTTTACAAGTCAACAATATAGTAATTTTGTTAGTATTTGGTTAGAGTAGTTAGGTTTTCTCTTATAAAAACATAATTGTGTAATCTTTCTATTTTAGTTAACACAAATCTCATATTTCTTCTCCAAACTCTCTGTGTTCATCTTTCTTCTGATTTTCTCTTCAATTCTCTAATTTTTCAAATGTTGTCAACAAGAAGATGCGTGTGTGAGGCATTATGAAACCTTTTCAAAAGTGAAACCTAACTACTGGGAAAAATGTGAAGATATACAAGGAAAGACATAATGAAAACCTAAAATCAAAAATCAAAAATATATCTTCACATATTTTCATGAGGTCCCATCCACTTTTCTTCATCCTCATTTCTTCCATATACTTTTCCTTTGTCGCTAACACAAAATGTAAAATTCAAAAATTAAAAATTAAATCGTTAACAAAGCAGACTCAAATTGGTCGTTTGCCATTCTGATTATTGGTTTGATTACACCTTGCAGCACGACTATAAATGTATGGGACCTCATGATTCATTTGGCTTTCTTGGTTGGCACGGCGTACTTACCATATTTATCATCTCTTTCAGTCATGTAATTGTTGGTTGTGACATTATTTACTTACGCACTGTAATGCATTTGTAGCATGTAATTCTTCAAGAGTCTTCTGAAATTCTTGTCATGAAACTCACAGAGTTAGGGTGGCAAATGAGCTCGGATCCGGAAATGGGAAGGCAGCTAAATTTGCACAACAGGTTTCAATGGCACAATCTGCTTCAATCGGTCTATGCTTATGTGTACTTGTTATCATGTTCCATCACAAGTTCGCCCACGTATTCACATCGAGTCCTGATGTCATCGAAGCAGTTGATCAAATGTCGTATCTCTTGGCCGTAACAGTTCTACTTAACAGTGTTCAATCCGTCTTGGCAGGTTAACTTTGATCCTTCATCAAGTTTTTAACAGTAAATTGGTGGTAGAATAATTAATCTTAGTACTGGTACTACATGGTCTATTCTATACTCTCTATATACAGTAGTGCTTCTGTTTTTCTTTCAAATCAATTGTAAAGGTCTTTGTATATTCACAGGAGTGGTGGTGGGGTCAGGATGGCAAGCATGGGTGGCATATATAAGTCTTTTCTCCTACTACATTTTTGGGCTCCCACTTGCATTTGTAATGGGATCGGCTCTCCACTTCGGTGTTTCGGTATGTTTCATTCTCCAAGTTACACAGAATGTTCTCTCCTCGAATGATTTCTTTTTACATCATCAAGCAGGGGAAAATATTCGAATTCGAAATTTTTTTGCAACATTGAAAAGAAGTCATTAGACAAAGTGATTTGATTTTTCCTATAGAATGTGCATTGTTACCCCCATCATTCATCATTTTAATATACGGCAAAATGTAAAAAATGTGTTACTACTGTTTAGACAGACAAAATTACACATTTGGTTTTCTTAGTCTCTGGCTAGGATATGCCTTCTGAATAGCCTCGGTTTGAATTCCAATTCATGTGTTACTACTTACAATAAAATCTCAAAGGATCAACTAATTGATTAAATTTTAAATGGAAAACAGGGTATATGGGGTGGGATGATCTTTGGTGGAACTGCTGTGCAAACAGCGATTTTGGCCATCGTGACAATAAGACATGATTGGGAAATGGAGGTATGATTTAATAAACATAAGAATTTCCAGTTATTTATCCTTCTTCTTTAAGTATACAAGTCAAAGTTACACTGTTGTAATCCAAGTCCAACAATGGTTTTGATCAATTATATGCAGGCACAGAAGGCTATGCAGCGTGTGAACAACTGGACGACTCCTAACCGAGACAATAAATTAGAGGAACATAAATAAAATGGAATAAATCCACTTTGTGTTATATTTGGATAATCGGATTTACAATTTCTGTAAAATTCGTACGTGACCTAAAGCAATGATGGTTTTTCCCTGCTAGATCTTAAACAATGATGCCTTGAACTGCTACATCTTAAACAATGGTAGTTTTTACCTGCTAGGTCTTGTTTTTATAGGCTTTTCTCTACGTACACTGCAATCATCAGTATTTAAAAATTCAAAGTTGACTTTTTCTTCTCCGGCTGAGAATGATGCATTGGTACCTAATAATAGAATTGAAAATTCAAGTATTTTTTTTCTTTTCATATTATACATAGGTACTCTTAGAAAATATGATCAGATTGCCCACTGTGTGACGAAATGATCAAATAGAAAAATATTAAACAATTAGAGAAAAAGTTAGAAATACTGACAAACTTGAAAATTGAGACTTGCATAAATGTAATGTCATCAAGACATAATTTCTTCCTTACTCTTGTGTTTGTAGTTCGGTAGGAGACCGTCTCCTAGGTTTCAACAATCTATAATTCGAAAGAAAACCCAATATATTTCGTACTCTCAAGACATGACTCGGAATTGAACAACAAATAATGAGAGAAACAAAATGAAGAAATTTTATTTCTCAAGAATAAGATTTGACTCACTAATTCTCTATATTACACAAGTAGAGTTCATAGGTTTATATAAAATCCAAATACCGCTTGTTAAAGAGATGTAATTTTACATCTATAAGCAGCGGTCATTTGGTTAAGGGCATATCCATCAGTCGTTTATTTTTAGCGTAAAAATATGATTTTTCATTAAAGTAAACAGTACCGAAAGTTTTTCGTTAAATTTCTCTTATTTTTTTTCGGCTGGCAAAGATTCATATACAAACCTTAGTTCCACTTCAAAAAGAATGACACCTACTGAATTTAAATATAAATTATTTGATGTAAACGGATATAAAAACATTTTTCTTCACATTTTAAAATTATTAAAATATAATAATGATTAGGGTAAATTACAGTTTCATACCTCAGGTTTGGGGTCCATTTCAACCTCATACAACAACTTTAAAACATTTCACTTTCATACCTCAAGTACTATTTTATTTCAACATAATACATCCGTTAGATTTTCCATCCATTAATCCGTTAAATGCTGACGTGGCTGTCACATTTGTGCCACGTGATTGCCAAATGTCTGCCACGTGGTAAATAAAATATTTTTTTAATTTTTTTTTAAAAACCTGAATTTTCTCAACAAAAAAAAAAAAACCAGATCTGCAAGAAGAAGAAGAATAGGGAGGAAGAAAGAAAAAGGAAAAAAAATTGTCCACCCCCTCCCCAGCGACCTAGAAGAAGAAGAAGAAGAAGAAGAAGAGGGAGGAAGAAAAAAAAAAAATTTGTCCCTCCCCCTGTTGGAAATTTGAGTAGATTGAGTAGAAATTTCTTTGTCCCACATTGGCCATTCCAAAAAGATTTTATCACTTTATAAGGCTTTGTCCTTTATAGAAAGTGATTGGAGTAATAGGCCTGGAGACTAAAATTGGGTTCACCCTTGGGGTTGGGCTTTGGGGTGTACTAGCTAATTGGTAATTAATATATAATTAATTATATTTAATATATAATTAATATATATTTAATTGTCAAAAGATGGGCCTTGGTAATTAATATATAATTAATTATATTTAATATATAATTAATATATCTAATAATTAAATTATTTATTTATTTTCAGAATTAATTAATTATTTTTTAATTTCGAATTTAAATTAATTAATTAATTATTTTTACCAACAAACTCATCTTTTCAGATGAAGTCTAAAGTGTGAAAACGCAGAAACAAAAACACCATTTTCAGCAGATGTCTCCCAACAGATGCATCCCTTCCTCATACCTGTTGCAAACAGGTATAATCACATTATATATACATCCATCTACATAGCATTTAATATACAGAAAAATCATAAATCTTCTCCTGCAATCATAAACATCCTTTCTGAGAGAACCACATTAATATTCGCCAGAAGTCAATTTTCCGGTGCTGGAATTTCTGACTTAGATCGTTGAATCCTGTTGAAACAGACGTCCGTAGAACTACAAGCACTGAGTAGGGCGAAATTTCTGTTTCAAGGACATTGCGGTACGCAAGCCTCGATCTTCAAGTTGTCTGTTTTTTTTATAAATCGTATTCTAGTTTATATTATGTTATTTCCTATTGCATTTATTATTTATTAGCATATATCAATTATCACAGATTGTTGACTTATATCCCCCCCTACCCAGCAACCCAGAAGAAGAAGAAGAGGGAGGAAGAAAAGAAAAAAAAAATTGTCCCTAACCCCCCTCCTCCCCAACCCCAGCGACACAAAAGAAAAGAAGAAGAAGAGGAAGAAGAAGAAGAAGAGGAAGAAGAAGAGGAAGAAGAAGAGGAAGAAGAAAAGGGAGGAAGAAAAGAAAAAAAAAAAAAAAAAAAATGAAAAAAAAATGTCCCTAACCCCCCTCCTCCCCAACCCCAGCGACACAAAAGAAAAGAAGAAGAAGAGGAAGAGGAAGAAGAAGAAGAAGAGGGAGGAAGAAAAGAAAAAAAAAATTTGTCCCTAACCCCCCTCCCTCCCCAACCCCAGCGACACAAAAGAAAAGAAGAAGAAGAGGAAGAAGAAGAAGAAGAGGGAGGAAGAAAAAATATATATATATTTGTCCCTAACCCCCCCCCCAACCCCAGCGACAAAGAAGAAGAAGAAGAAGAAGAAGAGGCAGGAAGAAAAGAAAAAAAAAATTGTCCCAACCCCCCCCCCCAACCCTAGCGACAAAGAAGAAGAAGAAGAGGAAGAAGAAGAAGAAGAAGAAGAAGAAGAAGAGGAAGAAGAAGAAGAAGAAGAAGAAGAAGAGGGAGGAAGAAAAGAAAAAAAAATTTGTCCCTAACCCCCCCCCCCCAACCCCAGCGACAAAGAAGAAGAAGAAAAGGAAGAAGAAAAGAAGAGGAAGAAGAAGAAGAAGAAGAAGAAGAGGGAGGAAGAAAAGAAAAAAAAACGTCCCTACCCCCCCCCAACCCCAGCGACAAAGAAGAAGAAAAAGAAGAGGGAGGAAGAAAAGAAAAAAAAATTATTTTTTTTGCCAAGTGGCAAACATTTGACAACCATGTGGCACAAATGTAGCAGCCACGTCAGCATTTAATAGATTAATTGATGAAAAATATAACGGATATATTATATTGAAATAAAATAGTACTTGAGGTATGAAAGTGAAATGTTTTAAAGTTGTTGTATGGAGTTGTAATAGATCTCAAAACCTGAGGGGTTACTGTGTAATTTACCCTAATGATTATTAGATGTAATTCCAACATAGCCTTCCCTTGCATTAAAGAACCAACTTACTATTTCCTCTTTCTCTCTAACGGAGGCAATATTCTCAACATTTATCCTTAAAATCATATCAAAGGAGATTGAATATTACATGATGCCCAATGTTTATTTTTTGAGAACAGAATATAACATAGACCGGGCAAAGATGTCAAAGTATTACAGAAGGCCTACTTCGGGCAAAGATGTCCAATGCTTATTGTACTTAATCACTTGCCTTTATTTGTTTTTTCTGTTTTTGGGTTTCTGGACGTCAGACACGACGTTCCATAAAAATAAAGGAAAACTAATGAAAAGGGCTTAAAAACTTTGAGTTTTAATGATAAGGACAAAATAAAGGGTAAAGTGAATAGTACCAGGATTGACTTTTTAGTGTAAAAATGTAGTTT